CCTGATCACCTACATATATAATATAAATAGTGAGCTGGAGCCTAGTAAATAACAATAGAATAAATGTTTTATGAACGATGTCCATAACAGATTCAGAATTCAGATCAGAAACAGATTTTTTTGCATATTCAAATTTGTAAAGAGTTATGTATGGCACATCCAATAGCTAACAGATTAGATTGGTCATAAAAACCCACGTGTAGAGTAATTGGTCGTAAAGACGCATATTCACTTGAGATGGTCATTAAGACCCACGCGCAAAGTAGTTGGTCATAAAGACCCATATTCACTTGAGATGGCCATTAAGGCCTACGTCCAGAATAGATAGTTGATTATGCATAATCAATTCCATGAATGGAACCCACGTAAAACCTTGGTACCAGGTAACAGATAACACATGACAAATTCACATGATGCTAAGGATGCCACGAGTATATTTCAAAAACTTGGACATCCATTCATGAATCACAAAATGACATTTCAGAAAACAAATCATATCTTATCAGTCAGAAAATATTTATAGTCAAACATAGTTTTATAGAGTTGTTACTCACAGATAGCTCCAGAAGCAGAAAAATAGCTTGGACAAATAAGATGGATACTAGCATGTGGCCTACACAAACACGTGACAGATACATATTGAAACACACGCTCTGTAAACGTTCTAGGAGCTCTCATTTGAGGATGCAATTTTACACTTTGAAACACTTAGCAAAATTTTGAAAAACAGGACAGTTCGCTCAAGCGGACCCCTTAGTCTGCAAAATTTCTAGGAGCTCTCATTTTAGGCTCGAGCCAACTTTTTGGTCGCTCGAGCCATGAGCCTAACAAAGGTGAGTTCACTCAAGTGAAGCTTTGGTCGCTTGAGCCAACTACACTGTCTGCAAAACTTCAGAGAGCTCGCAAAGTACGCTTGAGTGAAGAGTTCATCGCTCGAGCGAACCCTGCGAACCCTAAAATTTCCAGATTGTTCTTCAAGCTGCAAACCTCAGCTTCAAAGTATCAAAACTCATTCTTTTGGGACAAAACTCAAGAAAACACTTAGAAAATTGTATAACATCATGATAAGGCCCAAAAACATGCCAATTCCTTAAAACTAAGCTTGAACTTGTATATATATAACATGCATGCAATGTTTGAGTTCAAACTCCTTAAATCATGAGCAGATGAAGTATTAAAACTTGAAATCATGGTAAGCTCTCATGATATAACAAAATATGATCTCGCATGTAAGAAGTTATTGGAAATTAAACTCAAAATGGATGAATTATGTGTGCATGCATGAATTGATTCCCAATTCTACATTCAAAGCTCAATTCTCTTGTTTAATCTCTTAAACTTTTTGAATTACATTCTTGATGACTCATACACTTAATTCATGGGTTGAATTCTTAACTCTACTCCTCAATTGGGTTCTAGATTGTTAATTCTTTGAGTTACCAAGCCAATTTTCGCAATTCCCTTACAATTCCTTCTTTCTTATTCTTTGATCACACTATTATCCTCACACATACTCTCTCTCTCTCTCTTACAATTCCTTCTTTCTTGTTCTTTGATCACACTATTATCCTCACATATACTCTCTCTCTCTCTCTCTCTCTCTCTCTCTCTCTTACGGTTTGAGGCTCAAAATGATGAAGAAAGATGAGTTCTAGAACTTATGTCACATATTTATAGATTGGATTAAGTTAACTTAAGTTTAATAAAGCTTGCTTATATCTAATTGAATCTAATTAGTTTATTCTAATTATTTGATTCCGAATCAAAATCTAATTAAAATTACCATAATACTCTAAAAATTCTAACTACCACATACATCTAGTCGATTTTGGGTTTGGATGCCGATAAGGCCTTCAGTTTTCGTACCAAAGTAGAAATTCAGACAGATATTCCTACAAGAAATAGATATAAACACAAATAACTCATGAGATGCATAATTAACTCATAATTACTTATTAAACACGTATTAGGAATTCCTAATTAAGGGTTAGTAGCTAATCATAGAGTGGGGTTGTTACACACTACGACCCCCCCTCCACAGCAATCTTCCCTAACCCATTTGAAAGGAGCTTCTCATCGAAGACAGTTGCAACAGTGAAGCTTCGAATCGGAGCTTGAAATCCTAGATCAGAGCTTTGAAACTGGTTTGCACGATCGAACTCCTACAAACTCTAGATCTAGATCTGAAAACCCTTAGGATTTCTCTTTCTCTCTCTTTATCCACGATGGAGAAAAGCAGGTTTGCCGAAGGGAAAAGGGTCGCCATCGAGGTAGAGAAGTTATGGAGTTTACTATGGTGGCTGGGTTTCAGTGACAGTGGCCGGAAGTGGAAGCAGGCGGCAAAGACTAATGGTAGGTGGTGGTGCCCAAAAGAGTCTAGAGTTTAGAATTATGTCCAAAACGGTAATTTGATAAAGGGCTGTAAGCGTAATACAAAAAATTATGGAAATGGTGTGTATTGAGAGATTTTGTAGTATGTAAATAGAATTACTCTTTATTTATACTTACATTGAGTTTAATAACTAAACTACTATTTTTTCGTCAATTTTATTTAACGAAAATAGATTAATGATTTAGATTGAAAGCAAATTACAATATTAAGGTTTAAATTGATAAATTAAAAACACATAGTTTATTTTGTTACAAACTCAAATTATGATATATTTTTTTCATAATTATCCCTAATTTAAATTTATAGCCCAAGTATCTAACATAGGAAGAAAAAATATTAAAAATAAAATAAAATTTTACTTTATTTAGAAACTTTTCCAAAAATTAATCAATTTAACCCCACTGATAATAGAGCATTGCTAGGAACACAGATGTGTTCCATTGCATGAAATACAAATGAAAGATTAATGAGGCATTGCTAGCAATACAGATGTGTTCCATTGAATGAAATACAGATGAAAGATTAATGATAAGTTCCACATGATATAGGGTCTACATATGAGACCTATTATTTGTTTCACATCTGCTACATTCCTTGGAATACATCTGTCTTTATAGATTATTGCTGATAAAATCATAAGACATATCTCTCCCTGATGGACTTTACATGTAGTTCAAGGCTAGGCATGGGCCTAAGCCGACGCAGTAAAAGCCCAATTTGAGTCGATATCCGATCATTTTAATTTTTTATATGAATATTCTATTCAATAATGTCTAAAAATTGAATGATTTAGATCACTGAATTGGCCCTACAATGGGCCCACTAAGCTCAAATGTTCTATCAAATTTAGTGGCCAACTTGAGAGAATCTAAATCCAATTTTTATGTCTTAAAATATAGAATATTTAATCAAAAAATAATTCTAATGTTTTAAAAAATAAACTGGTTTAAATGCCTTTCTATTTATTTGGTGTTGGATTTGAAGAAGATTTTTTTTTTTTGTGAATATTCCAAAAAATTAAATTATTTATGTAAGTAGTCAACTTTTTAAATTATTTACTAAATTAACTCATTTTTTAAAATCGCAAGTTTAAAATACGATTTCATGGCGAAATCATATATTGAATATGCAATTTCATATTAACACGATCCACATTTACACACCAATAAATCAAGTCAATATAAAATCGCATTTGAAAAATCGCATTTCATGAGGAAGTTTGGTGGCTTTGTGGCCAGTGGCTCATGGCAAGACCCTTTCTTCATTTAGTTGGTTTATCTGTTGAATGTTAGTTTTGGAAAGTATTAGAGTAATTTGATTAGTTATAATTATATAATTTTATGTGCTTTTTTACCCACAAATCCCATATTGAGAATGTCTCTCTCCATTAGAGGAAAACACCAAATACAACCCATTCAAACCGTATCACCTGTTTTGGAAGTGTAATTAAAAACCAATCTGCTGCATGATTTTAGAAGGAAAGCATGTTACATTTCATTTCGTCTTGTTGAATAGAATTTGAAACTTTTAAATTTTATTAAAAAAATTTTAAAAAAAAATTATTAAAAATAAGCCAACACAAAAGTCACAAAGAAAGCAAACCTTGAACACCAAACATCAACATTATGTTTCAAACATCGGATTCAATGTAGATGTAGGGCATCCAGATTTAATGTTGATATTTACATTCAAAAACCACAAAATATTTTAAGATCCAAATCGAAGGTGTACATGATATCTATTATGAATGTTTACATGGTACATCGTTCCAATTATTCGAATCAACATCCAATTCAATGTAGATATACAAATTTTATGATTTACAGCAAATCAAACCCATAAAATGATTCACTTTTCATTGTCGTGAAAGAATAATTCAGTGCAGACATTCAAGTGCAAAATCTAATGTGTGAAATCGTCTCACATTGATAAATGTGTATATACCATAAATAATATACATTATAAATATCGGTATATATAGGATGTTAGGTGATTGTTATTTTTTAGTACAACAGTCACGGTTGTGTTTTCAATGATCCTATCTCGATAATTCGAACGTTCAATTTTTAGAGTCCGTCAAATGCAATATTTTTGTAAAAAATTAAGGCTTTGTTTGGGAAGCAAAAGTTAGGGCTTTTTTGGCTATTTTAGCCACAAAAAACAAAATAGACTTTTTAACTCAATAAGACAAAACATTACATGCAACCCATAATCATTACATTATTTCTCTTACAAAAAACCAAAAAAGCCTAAAGTCATTCCCAAACCAGACTTTTTAGCCCCGGGCTAAAATAGCTAAAAAAACCAAAAAGCGAAAAAGCCAACCCACTCCCCAAACGAACCTTAAGTTAATCGGATATTAGTAACCTTTTGATCAGAGAACATTTGTATCTAATAAAATGGAAGGTAGATGTGAATTTTAATGTTAACTTGAATAAAAACGGTAGTGCTACATACACCAATTAATGTACGCACTAGTGTACCAATAATATTATGCCATTATTACTGATCCCACCAATTATATAAATTATAAATACCCAAAACTTCTAAAATTATACCACATCATCTATTAGTATACTAATGAATATATTAATTAGTACATATGACATTATTCGAATAAAAATATGATTTGATCAAATATTATCAATTTTTGTGCAATTTAATTTTTTACATAACACTCTTAAAAATAACAATTCATGTTATCAAAATAGAACCTAGAGTTGGTCCCACCGAAAGAACAAGAGTGACTGATATACAATAGTCTCCCCATTTTCATGTACATTTTTTTTTCTGTTACATCGGAAATTAAAAAACCAGAACAACAAAAACACAGACAAGAGAGGTAGCTAAGCTAGAGCCTCCAAAACGTTGTGCCCACCATATCTGCTATAATCAAGCTTCTAACTTCTAGAGGAGGTTCTTTCATAACCAGCAAGTACTCCACTTGATCTGCACCCATGTTGGCGAGCTTGTCCGCACATTGGTTGGCCTCTCACAATGTACTGGATGGAACAATTGCACCGCTGGAGCAGGTGACGAGCATCTTCCATAATGGCTCTATACGGGCAGTTTGGGAGAGGCCCGTTTGTGATCATTTCTTGGGATATGATGGAGTCAGTCTCAATGACAACTTCGGCGAGACCTTTCTCGAGCACTATGGTAAGACCTCTGTAGATGCCCCACATTTCTGCTTCCAAGCTAAAGCATGTCTCTAACTTCCCAAAAAACTGCACAGCCAAATGCCATATTCATCGCGAAAGAGGCCTCCAAACCCCCCTGCTCCTGGATCGCCCCGAGCACAACCACCTGTGTTTAATTTGATTTTCCTTGCAAGAGAAGGGTATCAAATAATCTCATCAGCAGGTTTATGAGCATAGACAATAGAAGATAAGAAAGCATGATTTATCTCTGCAACATAATTAAGAATACAGGTGCAAGCATTCAAAACAGTAGTTTCAATATTATCAAAAACTTTCTTGTTCCTATCTTTCCATATCTGCCAAAGTGTCACAAAAAAAACACAGCACCAATGGGGATCACTCCTCTTATGAGACTTCAAGTCCTTCCTAATCCAGTCAACCAGATTAAGGTGGTTGATGGTTGACACCCACTACAGACCAGCAATATTGGTCCATATGTTTTTTGAAACAATGCAACCACGTAGAAGGTGATCCATGTCCTCATTATGCCAATTACATCTGGGACAATTAGCATTCAAAGCCATGCCTCTATTCTTTCTCATAGCATTGGTTAAGAGTCTCCCATGGCAAATCAACCATAGGAAACCTTTCAGTTTGTGAGGTATTTTAAGTTTCCACACCCACACAATCTCCTAATTACACTCAAGCTGCCCAGAAGCAGCTTTATACGCAGCAGTCGTAGAAAACCCTCCTAAACCACCCTTCCAGTGAGGGCTATCAGGAAAGGTAACAAATTGGGGAAGAGGAATTTTTAAAACACTTGCAATAGCGTTACTAGGAATATGAGACCGGATGTGGTTCACATCACATTTGCCCTCCTCATTCATAAGGACATCCACCGTAGCGTTATTGGTAAGCTGGTGGTTTGGAAATTTAGTAGCAAGAGTTTCCTTTCCACACCACCAGTCAAACCCGATGGAAATAGTAGCACTATCACCCATTCCCCATTGAGTACCTTTCCTCAAGATATCTGTTGTTTTGAGGATGCCTCTCCAAGTGTGAGAAGACCTTTTCTTAGAAGAATAGCTCATAAAAGACTCATGTCGGAGATATTTCTCCTTCAGGACTTGCACCCAAAGGCTAGTATCATTGCATAACAATCTCCACCCGAACTTTGATAGGAGGGCCAGGTTCTACAAGTAAGCTTTTTTCATACCAAGCCCTCCCATCTTCTTGCTATTACAGACCATATCCCAATTCATGAGATGTACTTTTTTGCCATTTTCATAATCTCCCCAAAGAAAATTACGATTAAGTTTGTCAATATCTCTGCATATACTCATAGGGAGATCAAGAGTTTGCATAGTGTAAAAAGGAAGGGCAGAAGTGACAGATTGAATTAAGGTGGCCCTTCCAGCCAAAGAAAGCATATTAGCTTTCCACCCAGACAACTTGTTTTGAATCCTTTCAGTTATATGACTGAAATGAGCACGATTACATCTGCCATGTAACATGGGAATGGCCAAGTACTTACCTAAATCTTGGGTGAGGGAAATTCCACAACAATTACTCAAAACTCTTGCTTTCTGGATCCCCACATTGGGCGAGACAAAAAACTTAGATTTATGGAGGCTCACCTTAAGGCCCGAGAGCTCACTAAACTCCTTCAACACCCCCATAACAAAGTTACACATCTTTTTATCAGCTCTCCCAAACAAAAATAGATCATCAGCAAAGAAAAGGTGAGAAAACATAGGGCCTCTGTTAGATGCTTTTACCCCTATCCATACTTTGTTATGGACTTTCTCAAGGATCATATTAGAGAGTCTTTCCATGCATAACACAAAGAGGTAAGGGGATAAGGGATCCCCTATCTCAACCCCTTCTCAAAACAAAATTCCTTAAGTTTTTCCCCATTCCACAAAATGGAGGCAGAAACATTTGTGACACAATTCATGATGAGATCCACCCAATGATCATTAAGACCAAGATTATTTAAAGTTTGATATAAAAATTCCCAAGACACGTTATCATAGGCTTTTTCTAGATCAATTTTAAGAATCATATCACCTTTATTGCCTTTCTTACCTTTAAGAGTGTAGAGGATCTCCTGGGCAATGATAACATTATCACTAGTGGTGTGTCCAGGAATAAAGCTACTTTGGAAAGGTCCAACAATATCGGTCAAAAAGGGGTCTGGTGAGGGTTTTGTAGAGAACATTGCAAAGGCTAATGGGGTGGAAGTGGGATATAGATTCAGGGTTAGCAACTTTAGGAATAAGGGTGAGGAAAGTTTTATTCATGCTATCAGGAATGTGTTTGTTGGCAAAGCAATTTTGTATAAACTTACAAACAGAAGATCCAACAATGTCCCAGTGCTTGTGATAGAAGAGGGATGGAATACCATCACTACCAGGTGCTTTAAAAGCTTTAACACTCTTAATGGCATCCCACACCTCCTTACCAGAAATAGGCTTACAAAGGGACCTGTTATCATCCAAACTAATTTTAGCCTGCAGAGGGTTAGGGACAACACTCAGAGTGTCACTAGTACCTTTCTTAAAAAGGTTACAAAAATAGTTGTGTACATGGTTTTTGAGGTCAATGGGGTCAGTGATCCACCCATTCTCAGAATTTTTCAGAGTTACCACTCTCATCCTCCTCCTTTTAGCAATAGTAGAGACGTGGAAATATCTCATATTCCTCTCACCCATGGTGATCCAGTTAGCCCTAGACTTTTGAAACCACAATAGCTCTTCTTGGTACAAAATATTGTTATAGTCCCTAACAAGTTCTTTTTCAAGTAAGAATAGATTATGGGAATAAACAAAGGATTGGGCTTTTTGGATGCCCTCAATACGTCCAAGAAGACACATTTTTTTTCAAAAAATATTGCCAAAATGATTTTTGTTCCAAGCAGAAATATTTCTAGTGAACAAATTCAGAGTATCAATAATAGATTCGTTATTAGTAGCCCAGGAGTTTTCAACAATAGATTTAAATGTAATATCAGTAAGCCAAGCGGCCTCCAATCTGAAAGGTCTAGCTAAGGGGTTAGGAGAGTCCATACCTTGTGTGAGCACAATCAAAGGAGAGTGGTTAGAGTAGGTTCTTGGTAAATTACGAATTGCACCTTCAGTGAAAGCTATACACCATTCAAAATTGCAAACAGCACGGTCTAGTCTCTCCAATGTGTTAGCCAGTCCTTGCCTTCCATTGGACCAAGTGAGTTGGGGCCCAGAGCACCCAAAATCCATCAGATTACACCTATTCATTCTGGCATTGAACTTACGGGTTCGAACATGAGAGAGGGTTGGGCTGAGACTACGTTTTTCCCCTGAGAAGCTATGTCATTGAAATCTCCAGCCACAAGCCAGGGCAGATTCATGTTGTCGGCAATAGATTCAAGATTATCCCATAACAGTTCACAATTTCTGGAAATTGGGATGGCATAAACCACTGACAGGACCCAATTTGCATGGTTATCACGTTGAATTTTTGCATGAATAACTTGGGCATTAACCTCAAGGGCTTTTACAGTAGCTTTAAAAGGATCCCAAAGGACCCAGATGCCCCCACACCTACCAACAAGGTCTACATGGGAAGAAGTAGTGAACCCCAATTTGTTAAAAAAAGAACCCATTGAACTAAGCTCAAATTTTGTTTCCATCAGAACAATAATAGAAGGTCTGTGATTTTTCTCAAGTTCCTTCATGGTTCTTCTAAAAACTTTGTTGCCGGCATCACGACAGTTCCATATGAGCAACTTCATTGAGACAGAATTTGGGAAATTAGGAAAAGAGCAAATTCAAGAATGCCTAGAGTCTTCCTGATTTTCATCCGATCGAAGACACCCGAGTTCAGGGAACTCACTCTGACTATGGTGTTTTGGATGCCATAGTGGTTCATCTCCTCTTTCTTGATTATGAGGCGAGCTTCTCCAATCCACCAGTTTGTGCTTACTAGGTGAGTGGCTTCTTTCTCTTGATCGAATGCAAGATAGATCATGCAAGCCTAACTCTTCGACGGTTCTCCAATGGAATCTCCATGGCTGGGTAAACTCACTGGGTTTGATAAATGGATAGTCACAGGCAAAGAGGGGTGGGGTCAGGGGGGTTTTTGTGGTGGCCGTATATGGCTGTGTTTTTTGGACCAAAGGTGTAAAGGGTGAGGGTGGTGCAGCTGGACATGGAGCTACTGGTGGAGCTAAACTTTCTGAGGCTAGACCTTCCATCATAACATATGTGTCTGCCAAGGATGTGAAAGGGTTATGCACATCAGTGCTTTTTGCAGGGACTGAACTGACATCAGCTAGAAGATCTGGAGTGATCTGGTTTGTCTTGGAAGACTTAGTTCCATTCATAGCCCCTTGGTTATAATGAAACTGCTTACCTGGCCCCTTTCCATGGGCTTTGTCTTTAGATTTTGATCTGGGCACTTTCTTGTTGGCATAGTTCTATTCTGGGCTCCTCTGACTAACCAACATCCATGGGCCAAAGCCCTCTGTAGGTTGATCCGAAATTGGGTCTGATGAGTGGGCCTTACCACTCTCACTACAGCTGGGCCTACTCTTCTTCTCATTCTCAACGGTCAATTTTTTTGCAGGCACCTCCACCGGAGCAATGGCGCCGGACGGATTCACCGAAACAGCGCTGCAACGATCCCTCCGATGACCCACTCTGCCACAATTAAAACAAAAGGAGTGAAAGTGTTCATATTCAATCCCATAAGAATATTTCCCAATAGCAAAATAGGCTGTTAAAGGTTGACTTAAATCAACTTCTATGCAAACCCGAGCAAACCTACCTCTTGTTCACGTTACTGTGTTGATGCCAATTTTCAGGGGCTTGCCAATGGATTTGGCAATGTGGTAAAGCACCCTCTCATTATAATATTCTATGGGTAGTTGTGGAAATCTGACCCAAATAGCAGTGGTGACTTCTCTTGCTTGAGATGGCTTGAAATCATAGCACCATTTACGTACAGTGAGGTAGTGATCCAAAATTATCCATAGTCCCCCTGATAAGACTTTCATGTAATCATCTTTCATTTGGAATTTGAAAAGAAAGAACCCTAATCCCAAATCAATTGCCTCAAAGTCACCTTGGAGGTCCCAAATTTTCCTAACTTTTAGAGTTAAAAGTTTGTAGCCAATATTTCTCCCAAGCGGTTTAACAATGAAGCTGTCTTTCCACGGCCTTCTTATCTTATTCAGCAAATTTCTGGGAAGTTTGATTCGAGGGAAGCCCAGATCTGGCTCATCCAGACATAATTCCTCTTCCATGCTCTCTGGTTTAGATTCATCTTCATCCGTGGATAATCGATCAAGATCATCGTCAAAAGCTCGCTCATCGTAGCATCTGTTTGTTAGTGCCTCCTTGAAGGACTTCGAAGTATGAGGCTTCGATAAGCTTCGAGCCTCTGTGTTGGCCTCGAGAGTATTCAAGGCATCCGATGGACCCTCAGAAGCTGGAGGAGGCTCTGCCATGTTATCATCATCATTGCCCCCATGGGCTTTCAGTTTCTTAGTACTCCGAGAAAGATGATCTTTCTCCTCTGAGGATTGCTATTCTCGTTGATCACCGATTGTGTCGTTGGAAACAGCTGGAGACATTTTTTCAACATTCGTCTTTAGTTTTCATGTACATATACCATAACAATGTTGTAAAAAAACCGATGCCATAGATGTCATAGACACGCAAAATTCACGTTACATACAAAATTCTCACACGACTTTTCTCCATGAAACGTAATTTTTAACTAAATTTAAAGTGTGATTTTATTTACACACTTTTAATTTTCTCAGTATATATCATCATTTAGTTCACATAAATAATGTTTTGAATTTTTTATTTTTCTCTCAACATACACACTATAATATTACTCTTTTAGCTCAACTCACACAACACAATACACACCCTAACACAAGATGATATACATACCATCAAAATTGAAAAGACAAAATGGTCTAAAATATAATTCACGGTAATTTTAGATTTATGTGTCTCTCTCTTTCCTGATATGTGTTGAATATATGAAAGCAACGTGAGAGCAAAGGCGAGAATCAAACGGCAGGTCAAAATTTTACGATGACGAAGCAATTAGAGTGGTATTTTGTAAAAATTTAAACAAAGAAATAGTTTTAGTATTGTTCATAAATACAATGTTGAAAAAACTTAATATGTTCACAAATTTACTAAACCAAAATGTCCAATTTTTTATGTATGAACATTTAACATTTGATCAACTTTAATAATATGAACAAAATGATTCTTTTCAAATATAAATAATTGAAAATTTTGTAAATGTTTAACTTCTATGTGAACACGAAACAAATAAGTTATTGTTGTAAAGATAAACAGCGGTCTTTTGTTCCAAATCAGTATGAACAAGATAAATAGCAAAGTAAATTGATATTTTCATTACTGTTTTATTCCAAATGAATGTCATCCATAATATGTAAAATTTTAAAATCAATTGATTTCAATGTTTTAAAATCCTAATTTTTCAAAACAATAATATTTTAAGTTTGAAAAATAATAAAAAAAAATATTTGTTCTAGGTAATGGTGCGTATAGAGATATTTGTGTTTTCATATGTAAATTGTTGAAATGAGTATATACACACCCATATTATCATTAATAGTCATTTTATTTGAAGATATTATTATCCTATAAATTTATTAGTTAAATGGTGTGTACTGAGAGAATTGATAGTGTGTAAATAGAATTATATACCCAAATTTAAATTAGTGTTATGTTCCCCATATCAACTTATTGAATTCGATTTAAAAAAAAGAAAAAGAAAAAAAATCTTCATGAATTTGAAGGCTACAAAGTTCAAGTTTAAGAAGAGAGTCTAGAATGAAGAAGAAATTTCATGAATTCTCTAGAAGCTTCTAGCTTCTTCTTCTTCTTTTCTTCAAATTCAAATTGAATTCCTCTTTTTCAATTTGGAACTCTTGGGAACCTTTTTGTCCAAACTCAAATTGAGTTTGATTTCCGACATATAGCACGGGTTTTCACTAGTACTCATAATGATAATACCAATTTAATGAGATTCACATGAGACCTGTTGAAAAGTTTTGAAATTTGAGCTCAGAAAAACCGCACTGACTTTCACTTTAATAGATAATTTAGTTGGCATATACAAAAAAATAATTAACTTATAATTTCTCTTTTATTTATATGTTTAAGTTGAATATTTATGACTTTGCTTTTGATCATGTTAAGACAATATATTTTTTATATGTATTATTTTAGTATCAGATCTTAGTTATTTCTCATTCTTGAATCGAAATATAACAAAAGTACATAATAATTGATATATAAATTTATTTAGATCTTGGCCCCTCCGTAATAAAAATTTTGGTTCTGCCTCTGTCCATGGTTGATAAGCCGGATTAAACTTTCGGCGTTGTTTTCGCCGACGACCAACAAGGACCAATGCAGCAGTAATAGATCCAGCTCGTATTTTAAAATCAGCCGCCGAAATTGGCCTAGATCTCCGCGATCCATTTGCAAAATAATTCAAACTCCCCCAATTATTTTGGCTTATATAATTTCCCGTCTGCGCTTGCCTTTTTAGATTTTTAATCCTGGCCGCAGATCGGGGAGCGGCGCATGCCTTTTTAGATTTTTAATCCTGGCCGCAGATCTGGGCGTGGAGCGGAAGCCCTAGACGACAACACGCCACGAATTGCAGAAGGGAGCACCAATCGGGGGACAACACGTGGCGCGGGGGGGAGCGTCCCGGGTAATATTAGTGGGACGCTCCTAGGCACCTATATAACTCACTCCCTAACTCTCTTCCACCAGTAAAGTTTTTCAGAGAGTGACTTACGTCATCTGAGAGAGTAAGTGACGTCATTGAGAGTGAGTTATGGCATCAATGCGACGTCGTTTTAGAGTCCAAAACAAGAACATCTTCCTCACATATGCCCAATGTTCTATACCTAAAGAGAGATTATTAGAAAAAATTAGAGCGCTCTTCACAACTAGGCCACCAAATTATGTAAGGGTTGCACGTGAATTACATGAGAACGGGCAACCACATCTCCATGCCCTTGTTCAATTTCCATACCGTTTTCAGACGCAGAATGAACGGTTCTTCGATGTTACTCACGACCGAACTAGTCGCCATTTCCATCCGAATGTACAAGGGGCCTACAACCAACAGAATGTACTGGAATACATCTCCAAACACGAGGATTACACGGAATGGGGTGAATTCTGTGAGAGGAGCCGCTGCACTAACTAGAGTAACAAAGAAAATATATATCGCGATGCACTTGCTGCCGGCACCAAGGACGAAGCACTAGCAGTGGTACGAAACGGCGATCCAAAATGTTTCTAGTTAAATTATGACAAATTGTCATCAAATTATGACCGGATTTCATTTAATCCACCATTGCCGTATGTTCATCCATTTACAGACACAGTATGGATCGTTCCAACCGCCATACAGCAATGGGTTGCAGACAATATTAAAGACGAAGCCCAAAGACCGCACAGGCCCAAGAGCATTATAATTGAAGGCCCATCTAGAATTGGGAAAACATGTTGGGCCCAGTCTTTGGGACCACATAATTATTATTCTGGCCACATCGACCTGAGGGACCACAAGGACGACGCTTTCTACAACATAATCGATGATGTGGCCCCACAATTTTTGAAACATTGGCGCGAGTTTATTGGAGTGCAACGGGATTTTTTTTCAAATTGTAAATATGCCCGCCCAAAGAAAATAACGGGCGGAATTCCAAGTATTATATTATGCAACCCCGGAGCCGACTCCAGTTACAAAGAGTTTTTGGAAAAACATGAACACGCCGGGCTCAAAGTGTGGACGATCCGAAACGCAGAATTCTATATAGTCGACGAGCCCCTGTTCGCCAGAACCAATCAAGAAGAGGCATCGTAATGCCAAGAAGAAGGCCCAACACAGGAAGATATTCCACTTCCAATGCGGCTGTTCAATATTCCATACGAACGGCTGCGTCGAACCACATACAT